TCTGCAAGTCACACTAAATTCAACTTGTGTCTGAAGTTCTAAGTAAAAAATAAGATCATGTGGAATGTAATAGAACTTGAATAGTATTAAAATGTGTACGATATTCTGGTGTAATTAAAAGAGCTGTGTTAATTTGTAGAGTCATTAGGTTTTTTTTAGAGGCACAGAGAGGAAAAATTAGCAACCGCCTTCGCCGGGAATCGAACCACGGACCTCTAGAATACCGGCCCAGCGTGCTCCGTTACACCACGAAGGCATGCTAGGGAAGTGGGAGAAATACCTTATAAATTCTGCGTAATACAGTGCATAAATTTAAATCAATTTGCCATTATTTGAACAATAATATCCATTTTCTCTGGTAATTATATTTAAGACTATTGTGATACTTCTTTGGCAATATGAAGCAACTCCAATGATGGAACACAGAAAAAAAAAAAAACTTTATTTAACACTCAAATGGCGACATACAAAAAAAGAAGAAGAAAGAATTCTAACATTTAAAAAAAATAAATTACATTCTTCGTGCGAGAGTCGCACGTGCACTCGAGTCTGGTTTCAAATATTGCCATTCACAAATACCTTAATGTTCATCTATTTAAATCATTTAAACTACAAGATTTTAATAATATTTAAAGCTATTACACTCTATGCAAGGAAGTTCAGTTTGCATTAAAAGAGTTTAAATAAAGCAACATACTTAGAATTAATGTGTGATTATATTGTTTTTGAAGGGCTAGTTAAGATTACATTCTTTATAAATGAAACATTTCAACATGAGACTTTATTACTCTCTCCGTAGTGTGTTGATTAGGGCTTTGTGTCAATTAATTCACTTGGATATTCACAGTGTCCTAAAACACTTTATAATGACAGATTGCAGCGCTGCCTTATACATAATCAGATAAAAATTTCTCGGCGGAATTCGCTTTACAAAACTATTTAAAATCTGCTGTTTGAAGAAGTTGTTAACTTATTTCTAATAGCAATGCAAGCGAGGAAGATTTACTTTGGAATTAAAGTAAATCTACAGGTGCTGTTAAAAGATTTCTGACTAACAATATAATTATTTTGAGTAAAACATCAGTTATAACGTCAGCAATTCTGATATGAATGATAATGTCATATACTTTAGTTTTGAACATACTTTATTATTGATGTAAAGAACCATTCTTGATTGGTTAAACATGTTTTTCATAATCTGGCCTTCTCAAATCTCCAATGCAACTAGGATTCTGTGAAGTAGAATTCATTGCACTGTTGTCATAACTTCAAAGTTAATCTTTTGGTCAAACAACATGATTTGGAAACATGTCTCTTTTCCTGTGAGAAAGAAGGTTCGAGTTTCCGTGATGCGAAAAGATAATTGATGATTGAAGCGTTGAAAAACAATCGCAGAGGATAATTTAAATTTATTAATATTTTATATTAAAACAAATGTCCGACAGCTGTTTATTTTGGTTAATTTATATACTATTTCATATAAGTGATGACTATGCAAAGAAACGTAAAAAATTAGCCTTGCGTTTTGTAAAAAAAAGTGTATTGGCAAATTAATTCAAATTCTAAGTTATTTATAATTTAAAATTTAAAAACGCTTATATATTCCATTATAAATTTTGAGTAATAAAATCTGAATCCATATTTTATGTTAAATTTATTGGAAACTTATTAGTTTCTGAGGCCAAAAAGTTGAGTTTTTAATAAAATTATTCTTCAGTATTTTAAGTTTCTAAATAATTTCGTTCATGATATTTTACAGTAGTTTATTGATTATATGTTACTAATAAAATAAATTTATAGCCAAAACCTAATTTTATTTAAAAATTGTTCATAAATGATCATTAATCCCAAAACTTAAATGATTCGTGTTTGTTTGATAAATAGAAAGTAACTATTAAAATTTTACCATCTTTTAAAAACGTTTAATTAATATCGCTCTAATTAATCAAAATAAATTGTTGTAGCATTTCTCAATAATGAAACAAAGGTAATTAAACAGATCAAGAATAACTATTGAACTGAAATAAAGTAGCATGTTAGCTGAGATTTTTTTTTAAATAAGATACATTCCGATGACCTCAGAGATCACGGGAATTATGTATAGTTAATGTAAACAATGTAAATAACCTCACAGATCACGTGAATTATGTGTAGCTAATGTAACCGAACGAGGTCATCCTTCCTATTCTTCTATTGCGGAATGTATCTTACTAAGGAAGTCTGACAACAATTAAATCACATATCTTAGTAACATTATCCACATTGTAACTTCATATCCAAAGATGTCTCCGCTGAACTATAACTATCTCTAACTATTAGTAACTCTAATTAAATGATATAGTTATGAATTTATAGGTTTATTTGAGAAATTCTGAATTTTCTTAAATAAATAATCATAAAATCAGTGAAAACTGTCCAGAAATTTCTGTAACAGCCAATTTATCTCTGTTCTAGAATAATATAATAAAGGAATTAGAAGTTAATCAAGTTCCCTATAGTTAAAAAATCATAAAAAAAATCTGAAATGTTTCAGATTTTAAATTACGTCCAAAGGGGCGTTTTTTTAACGTTTTGAGTGTTACCTTTATTTATTAAATATCATGTTCTTTGCACTTAAACCATAAAATTCAGTTCAGCAAGAGCAATATCGCAAAATAATGTTTAAATTAAGCATATCTTTAGAATTTCCGATATACACAGTCTCGCGAGCTGGATTTATAAATAAAAAGTATTTTTTTTATATATAACGTTGCCATTTCTCGCTTTTAAAGCATTGAGTTTGTAAATCAAAAATTCGTTAAAGTTTTACAAAATATAAAATCGATAATAAAACAAATTCCAAATTTGGGATTTCACATGCCCATATTCGCAGTAGGATTTCGTTATTCAAAATTCGATGGCTCTATGTACCATTGTTTTATCACAATGCGAGGAAATAGACAATCATTTATGCAGATTTTTCATTATTTAATTTCTTCAAATATAATGCAGGACGACTCTAACATTTTGTGGCAACAGTTTGAAAAGTGAACCGACGTTTATGAGTCCGACGCAAAATCGCAAAACGAAAACAATAGTCCTTCAGGGACAAAGCCCCTTTGGACTAAAAAGCAAGTTTTCAAATATCAGAAGGATTTTTTAATTTATGAATAAGTAACTGATTTTAGTGTTCAGTTACAAAGTTTCATCGAAAACCTAGTAGCAATATTCGCTACTCTTTTCAGAATAGATTAGCTTCCGTACTTAAAAATAACTGAGTATTTGTTTTCTTTCTAAGAAACTCTAAATAATCTGATTCCTTTAACCCGAGAAACATTACGTTTTCAGATTTAAAAAATATTAATATGAGTAACAAAAACTTTTTGTAGAAGGGTGCGAAAGGAAGATTTAGAATTTTTGCACAATGTTATGCAACTCTTTGGCAAATAAGATATGCGTAGCTTAACGTTTTATTTTCAAAATGACCAAAGCCTGAATCATTTCAACCCAAAAAGAGGTTCACAAATTGAACTTTGAGTCATGAAGTATTTATATTTTACTATTTACGCGTAAAGCAGATGCTGACGCAGAATATTCGTAAAGATTTATGTGAGACATTAGGAAATAATGTCCCGTCTTATTCCACACTTCTGAAATAGACACCAGAAATTTTTGCACGAAAAACTTCTTATAAAAGTTATCCACTCTTCTGTTCTCTACCCAATCAATCTGAAACCAAGTGATTGCCAAACCAAAAAAAAAAAAAAAAAAAAAAAAAAAAAAAAAAAATCATCATATGAGCGACTATTAGCATTTAATAAAGGTCTGAGTGCATCATTTCGTAGCGTTAAGAAAACATCTAATAATAATAAAAAAATGTCTCAACTCGATGGATACCTATGATATTAATGCAAGCACAATAAACAGATCGTGTGAGGATTTCGGAATCCTTTTGACAATGTTTCAGCAGTAGCCTGAGAAGTTTATATGTAGAAACATGCGTCAAAGTTGAGTGCAATAGGTGAAACATGGGTACATGGCGTCTATCCTGATAGTAAACAGCACAGAAATGATTTGGCAACATGCCTCTTTTCCTGTGCGTAAAAAGCTTTGTGCTTTCTGGGATATCAAAAAACTGTTGATGACTGATTACCTTTAGCGTTGGAAAACAATCACAGAGGAATATTATGAACAGCCAAAATATTAAAATTACGTGTAGGAACAAGCATTCGAAGGAATTCTTCACTATCACGACAGTGCGTCGTCACATTGCTAAATCAAAGGCTGCTGAAACTGCTGCAAAATTACAAGTGTTACTTCATCCTTCATATTCACCAAATCTAGCTTTAAGTCACTTTTTTCTTTTTATAGATGTGAAGAAAGAAGTTAATGGAGTTTACTTCGCAAGTGGTGACGATATTAATAATGCTGTCGATGACTGGATTTCAGAGCAGGTTGAGGAATTTTCCTGCATGTTTTCCCAGCTTTTATGTAATGCAGAGAAAATTCATTATGTCAAAGTATTTTCTGTGCTTTACAAAAAAGGCTGGAAAATGCATTGTCGTAAAAGAGGAATGTATTGAAAAAGAAGAAATATTTGGCATTGTTTTCGAAAACCCAATCACAGGTGAGAATTATGCATGGTCAGTAACAAACTTTTGCCAAGAAGTTACGATTAAGCGAAAGGGGAAGCTATTGAAGGAAACTGTTCACCATCACATAAAGGAAAATATTTCATCATTAACAATTGGCATTGCTTCCTACAACCCCATTCTGAGAACATCTTGATCACATTGTCTAACAGGCTTTCTTCTAAAGACTTATGTGTTAAAATACATCCAATTACGATACTGAGTTACTTTTATAAAATATTTGCTTAGTAATAATAATACTTCTTAAATCTAAACGCATTCATATAATTCTAAGCTTCTAAATAATATTTGATACAATTGTTAATAATGCAAATGATTCAAATAAATTTTATTCATTAGCTGTTGCTAAATCATTTCTTTTAATTTCAGGATAAATGAAACTGGCACAGAGAAAATGCAGCACAACACATGAAGGTAAGTGAGACTTTTCCTGACACAAATTTTCTAGTTGGAGTAAATCACTAATCTAGGTGCAGAGCAGTTTTTTCAATAACTTTTAAGTAGAAAAGTGCCACTGTAAGATAGAAAGAAAATGTGTTTAGAAAGCGGACAGCAGTTTCTTAACCACCTGGTTAAGAATTTGAATCTAGACTGCTCCAAAGCAGGAATCCCCCCCCCCAAATAAAGCCTGTGGAATATTCAAATGTGTTCGATCTTCATCGTTGCTCGTGAAGTTAGATATATTGTACTTTCAAACAAAAAGAGGAGAATGTAAGAATATATGGCCTTTATAAAATAAAAGTTAAGAAGCAAGATTTTAATAGCGTAAAAGTTTGCTTCCAAAAATTTTACGTAATTAGGTCCTATGATTTTTCCTTCCTTTTTGATTGGGTGATCTATGCGAAATCACAATGTCCAACGCAATTTTCTCTACATCGTCGAAATATTGCGGATGCAAATCTACGTTTCAACTTCGTTCTGTGAGAACATGCTTTTAGGACATGTTCTCGCAGAACGAAGTCGAAATGCCTGTTGCATTTCGCATCCGTATGTGGTATACCAGTTTAGTCAAAGTCGAAGAAATACGGCAGGATTTCATTTATCTTGGCAGTTGATTCACCTTACAAAGTGATGTCACGCAGACGGCTTCGAGCAAAAAGTTGCTTAACAATATTCCCGTTACGCTGAGTTGCTTTAAACATTATCAAGTATGAAAAATCTTTCTTGTCGCAAATAAGTTCGCATAGCTGAAGTATATAAATTAGGAAACGAGTGGTGTTCGATAACGCAACTGAAACATTCTCATGCCCAGCAAAAGGGAAAAACTCTTATGTCCGATTCTTGCAGACTTACATACCTTAACAACATTGTAGAAAGTGGAAAATTCAGCTACAGGTCTCAAATTTGAATTTGATTATTTCAAGTCTCTATACAGTCAGTAAATAATGTTTACAAATTTATAGCCAAATATTATGGAAGGTGAAATGCCTTTTAAGTGAAGTGTTTTAAGTGGTACTTGTTACTTTTTGAGCAAAGTAGCCACTGTTTTTAAATGTATCATAACACTTTGAATATAAATTAAGAGTAAATAAATTCTGATGTAAAACACCATAATAACATTACCAATAGTTTACTAAATAAATAAAAATTACTAATATATCAATTCCAAGACTCGAGTAATTGATTAAAATTGACTACCAGGAAGACGTGGACAAGTGATCTATATAATACGACAAAAAAAATTAAAGGCTTCATGAAAAAACGCATATAAAATTGGGAAAATGATAAATAACAAAAGAAAAGAGTGAAAGGAAAAGAACTAAAACTAGTTTATAAGGTATATTCTCCCTCCTTTCTTCATATCTTCGTAGGGTAACGGTAGCACACTCGGCACGTATTCTGAAGTCCAGGTTCGAGTCCTGGCGAGGACACTCATTTTTCATGTCTTCTGCTACAAAATAACCTAATGGCTGTACAGTGGCGTCCGCACTAAAAGGTGGTGGATGATAATGCTTCACACCAGGATTTGGCGACTAGGTCCCCTAATTCCCAGTCGCCCTGTATTTTCGCCCTCCTTTCTGCATGCCTTCGTTGTACAACGGTAGCACACTTGGCACGTATTCAAGAGGTCCAGGTTCAAGTCACGGCAAGGGCATTGCTCATTTTTTGCGTTACCTACTTCAAAATTCCTGATGACTTTACTTTCTTCTATATCACCTAGTTAAGCTAGGCCGTCTTTTAGTGGGTTTTGAGTCTTGTCCTCTCCGTCCGTACATTAGGATCATACGCTGTTACAACTGCCAGGAGTTCGGTCACTATAGCAGGAACTGTAAAAACGCTCCAGTTTGCGCGAAGTGTGGTAACAGCCACCCGACGCAGGAGTGTAGCTCGGAAAAAGTGAGTTGCAGTAATTGCTGCAGTAGTAATTCTGAAAAGGGGACCTCTTTCAGCACAGATCACCCAGCTTCAAGTTCCTGCCCAGTGTATGGAGCCCATTTTGAGAAGGACCACTGCAAAGAACTAAACCAAGATGACACTAAACAAACATATAGCAGGTCTTCGATTTTTACAGTGTAACTTGCAGAAGTGCTATGCAGCAACCATAAATACGCTGCAAGTAATGACACATACTGCTGCCAATGTCGGAATCTTCCAAGAGCCATACGTTTACAACGGAGGGATTCCTAGTGTTCCAACACACAGCAGAACGTTTCTCTCAAAGAATCAGCTAGCTGCGATTATTTACAGTGGCCCTCTCTCCCCTCTCCTAATGAAAATCACAGAGCATACAGTCTCCATCAGACTAGACACTAGTAATTGCAGCATTGATATTATTGCTGTGTGTCTATCTACCCCCCGAGCGAAGATATTACCTCTCTATTAGAGGAACTTAATTCTAACCTTCTAACTGGGGCATCACACTGTATCATAGCAGGAGACTTTAACGCCACCAGTCAACTATGGGGTGCTGACTCGGAGAACCGAAGGGGAATTGCGGTACTCGAATTCTTGGACACAGTAAGCATTTCATTGTCATCAACGCTCAGGACTCACCGCCTACCTTTGAAACATCTAGAGCTCGAGGTGGCCAGATCTAACAATATCAACTCCCAATACAACTCCGTACATACAAGATTGGACAGTGAGTGACCTGCCGTCTCTCAGTGATCACAAAATTATTACTTACAGGCTGGATACTCCTATAGACTACATAATAAAGAAAAGATTCAAAACGGCATTTGGAGGACATTCCGTTTTACGGGAACACATTCGAGCGCATGCAGAGAAATTTATCAAAGATTTCAACAACTGCCAGGACAGAAACTCCTTAGATAATCTCTAGGACTTACTAGTTACAAAAATAGTGCAAGCTGCCCACAAAGCATATCGTTTGAAATCTGTAAAGGCAAAACACTCGATATCCTGGTGGTCACCAGAGCTTAACACAGAGAGGAGCAGAGTTCGAGCACTTCGCAGAAAAGCACAATCCACGGTAGATTCATATCTACACAACTCAAAATGATAACATACAATAAAGCCAGAGCTTTATATAAAAGAAAAATTAAAGAGGCCAAGTTAATCTCATGGAGAACTTACTGTAGTAATGTCACTAAAGCCTTTGGACCTACTCAAAAGATAACATGTAACAAGGTGTTTCGTCCTACGACCCTTTCGCCTATGGTGAATAGCACTGCCTCATCCAACATCGAAATAATCAGTGAGATCATAAATGCAGTTTTTCCTGATGATGATGAAGAGGATTTCTTAGAGGAGCAAGAGGAAGCGAGAAAAACCTACAGTATGAAATTTCGCCAAGTTACCAGAAGAGACGAACTCCCTCCTACGCAAATGGAAGTGGATAACATCATACGTACTCTGGCACCCAAAAAAAGCTCCAGGTCCGGATGGAATTGATAATATCATCATTAGAGAGATACACCGGGAATTCCCAAAACTATTCCTTGCGGTCATTTCAGCTTGCTGGAAACATCAGTACTTTCCTAAAAATATGAAGTTGGCAGAAGTGGCGTTGTTCCTAAAATCAGGCAAAACTCCGGCAGAACCTACATCTTACAGGCCAGTCTGTCTACTGCCAGCGCTCGGTAAGGTATTGGAAAGAGTGAAAAAGTAATTCTTTACAGATTGGACTTCTTCCTGCAAAGGAACAACGCCCTGCATCCCAACCAATATGGATTCCGAATGGGCAACTCAACTGAACATGCCATAAAAGACTTAATGGCCACTATCAAACAGAACAAGGATAACAATTTGCACTCACTGGCAATAGCCATTGACATCAAGGGAGCCTTTGACTCCCTATGGTGGCCAGACGTAATAAATTTGTTGCACAACATGGCGTGCAAAACAGCCATTATTACCATCCTTCGCTCGTACCTTCAAGATCGAAGTGTACAAGTAACATCAGACAGCGGCATTTATGTCAAAAATGTCTTTAGAGGATGCCCACAGGGGTCATGCCTTGGACCAACACTGTGGAATATAGTGGCAAACTCGGCATTTCGTCAGTTTGAGAGCGTAGAATACGCTCGAATCATAGCCTATGCGGACGATTTTATGCTAGTTGTGGCAGGAAGGAGTAACCTCGAAATGAGATCGCAATACTGTCTTGATCTGTTCTCCCAATGGGCCAGAGCACATAAGCTTCAGATTTCGGCACAGAAAACTAAAGCTTTGCTCATAGGACGCAGCAGGCAGCTAAGACGCAACCCAAGTATTAAACTCCATGGGAATACCGGTAAAATGTTTCCCCCCCCAATTGAAATATCTTGGGCTATTACTCGACAACAGACTTTCTTGGATGCCACATGTCAGGAATCTTAAGACTCGAATTAGCATCCTAAGCAACAACATGAGACGCATGACTTCACATAAATGGGGTATCTCACCTAAGCTACTAAAAATTTGGCATAGAACCATTACAGAAAGAGTAATAACTTATGGAGCAGCAATCTGGGGTGGCGAACTTACCTCTCATATGAAAAGATCCCTGCTCTCTATTCAGAGACAGCAGCTACTTCAAGTATGCAGGGCCTACCGTACCACGTCAACACTAGCCCTACAACAACTAGCAGGAATTCCTCCCCTAGATTTGATAGTAGAAAGGGAGGCAGCTATCGTAAGGGTTACCAGGCTGGGTCAAACTTCAACACTCTGGGGTCATAATTATCCCCACTCGGACTACGAGGAGCAAAACAACTGCAATAACTTTCATCCAGCAGCTTTCAATCTCTCTGACGGTATCAGTATAAACGACCAACCAATTCAGAGGTACAGTAATAACCTTTTCACAGATGGCTGCAAAACTGAGAACGGCACGGGCAGCGCCTTCTGTAGACTAGAAAATGGAGTTGTAACATTCGAGTGGAAAAGGAAATTAGGCTCGAACAATTCGGTATACCAAGCAGAGCTTCTAGCTGTCAGTGCTGCAATTAGATATGCGAACATATGTCAAC